TAAGCATCCTTCCCTTTTATTACTGCCATTTAACTTCAATCTGCAAGTCTGTGCTTTTGGGTAACAGTGCAAAGAGTTTAGAGTAACATTCTTCCAAATAAGAAAAACTAAAACTTAGTTGTGTTAGCTAAGGAAGAGAGAGAAAATACAAAGAGATTGTTAAACTGTTATGTCCCTACATAAAAATGCTCTTCACTGAGAACTGTAATAAACAGAAGTAATATTTTTAATTCTGGCATGGTAACTCTGCATTTATTGCAGTGTGACTCAAACCACCTTGTTATCTCAGAGAAAACAATACAAAACCAGAGAAATGTCCTCTGAGAGGAAAAAAATGCGCTGTAAAGACTTTACATTAAGATGTTTTTCTTTAAACACATACTGAGAGGTTTTTTGTCATGGAACTGAAAGAACATAAAATGTAAAAGTTTAAGACCATTTTGCATCAGAAAATAGACTTCATAGTACTTGTTAACACACAATACTAACACACAATACTGTGCTAACACACAATACTGTGCACTTTACATCACATCTATTTAACCACCAAAGTATGATTTATATCAGTCTGTTTTAATCTGTTGTATTTTCCTGAAGTAGTAGATTCAGCTTCAACTAGTAATTTATAGTTTGCAGTTCCATTAGTATCTTGGATTCTAAAATTTTTCAGGAATTGAAGTAAGCTTATTTCCCTGTTAATTAATCTTAGAGACATGACACTTCCTCTACAATCACAGGATGATACTGCAGAGTCTTTTTATCCACTGCTGGCTCTAACTTTTAAAATTGTTTCACAAACTTGCAAAACAGTTTAGCAAGTCACATTGAAACTTGAAATAATTCAAGTGAAATTATTTGGCCAGTAACTAGATGTTGGCCATTAACTACCGGCAATGATTACTGTGGTAGGCAAATTATTACTGATTTTCATTCCAATGTGTCCGTTCATTTCAAATTTTTGAAGGAAATGAAGGATCAAATTCACAAGAGTATAATCTTTACTTAAATAATTTAATTGTTTCTTTCTATGCAAGGAAATATTACAGTGAGATTGTTATTGTGCTACTCTTACTGTGAATCTATGAATCGAGGTATTGGGGTTTGTTGTTTTTTTTTTTTTTAACTGTGATCCTATAAAGCAAAGTAGTAACTTTTTTTTTGGTACCACACAAGACATTATGGGGATTACTACAATATTAAAATTTTTGTCCAGCTAATGAAAGAAGCATCTAAATTGGCAAAGGGAATAAGCAGTCAAACTTGCTGGAAACCACCCAGTTTTAAAAGTTCTTTTTTGATGTGCTCTTGCAATGTGCATGAAGACTGAAAACTCAGTATGCAGACGCAGTTTCCTACAGTAGTCAATCTAATCTTTCTTCAATGCATTTCATAGGATTATCTATTGGCTTTGTATCAAAAGAATAGTGAAAGAGTTGATGCTGGGTAGCAGCATACAATGAAGTGCACTAAGTGTATACCCTCTGTAAACTTCTCCATCATGTTGCCTATGGATATTCCAAAAATGTCTCTGCTTTCACATATATTCTTAAAGAAAGAGGAACTGTAAATGCTCTGTCAAGGCTAAGCTATGAATAAAAAGACCAGAAGCCAGCCCAAGGCCTCTGAGCAGTTAGATACAGAGGACACAATGAAAAAATCCAACCCTCTGGTGGTAAAATGATGGGGGTGACTGCAGTAGAGGAACCTCTTTGTTTTCTTTCCATTAAGCGCTAAGAGTTTTTTTTTGTGCAAACCCCTACCTCTTCAGCTTCCCAACACTTTTCCTTTGTGTGCTTTAGGTAATATATGTAGTCTGTATAAAAAAATGCTAATATTAGATAAGTATTAAGTGTGAGTGAGCTTCTTACTGCGGCAAAGGCTAAGCTGATCCAGTTACAGCTGCATTTGTTTGATATTGTTAATTCTTAGTGATACTAGATCAAAGCAACTATACAGCATTTTAACTGAAAAAGGAAAGGAACAGTTTTTAAAGTGAAGGTTTACTATTTGTGGAATGCAAAACAACATCAAAGAGCTGCTCAAATCATCATAAATTCTGCAGTAGTCTTACACGTGCGACTGTATCATCTGTTTCAGATGATCCCAAACCCCTTTGAAACAACTGCATGATCTTTTTAAGCAACATTCCCACATGAAACTTATTTCTGCAAACACCTCTTGAGTATCAGATAATGAGATGAAAGTCCTTCAATGACCAATTTGGAGAAGAGTAGTTTATGGTTTGCAATCAACTGTGAAATCATATCATATGTATCATATGAGATATCTGTAATTTCTTAAATTGAGATCTGTCTTGTTAATAACACCTTTAAACTGATTGTGAGCCTCCAGTTCTTTCAAAAATTTTACTACTTTTCAATTCCAAGTGCCAAAAATTGAGTGTTTATTACTATATTACTATACTATATTATAGATGCTATAATATTATAGATACTATAATACTATATATTACTATATTAATATATTACTATATATTACTATATTATTTTATGACTGTATTACTGAAGTATGGCTCCGTGGATCTGCTTTAAGTTGATCTGTTCTGTGATTCTATGATCTGATCCCCCTCCTGAGGATGAGGGAAGGAGTATTATCTTGAAGAAAACAAGAATGAAGAAGGTCAGGCAGCCTTCATGAGATCAACTTTTCAGACCACAAAATGATAAACTGATCGAAACAGTTTGTAATGTTATAGTCTGATACATTTATTGAATTCTGTAATGCAGAGGTTGAGGTTTTAGACCATTCACCAAAACAAAATTTCAGACGAGTGTCTTGATTTATGTAAAACCAAACCTAAACAAGCAACCTCTCACTCAAATTATACTAGGCATAATATATTTCTTCTGGTATTAGTAAACTCTAAAGTGATCATTGAATTCATTCCATCAACTCTGTCCTTCCCAGAAATGCTGAGCAGGAGTGAAGAGTGCTAACAAATCAAGTAGATATATGCATCACTGATCCATACAGATCAGCTGTCCTTGAAATGTAAACTCCAGAAAGGCTCTGTATTTTCAAAGATGCATGCAGCTTCTGTCAACCGCTGTTCCTGCATTCAACTCATCTAAAGATTTGCTGTAAACTTCAGAGAAGAAAAGAAAGACTTGATGCCTGCAAGCACAAACACAGAAAGACATTAGATTTTTTTTTTCTTGGAAGCCTGTGAAATTGAATGTGACATACAGACATGTGAACTCTTCAATTACTGGCAAACTACCTGAAACCTTTGTTAAAGCATACATTGTTTCCAAATCAGGCTCTTGCAAAAAAGCAATGCTGACAGAAAAACTACAATGTACGATATATACTGCTGGTATGTTGCTACCTTCAATACTATATTTCTGAAATTAGTGGACTGGAATGCGTTTCATTCATCACTGAGGTTGCACCCATCAGAAGGAACAGGCTGTGTTAAACAATATAGAGAATTTGGATTTGGGGCTTCTGTTATCAGCTAAAAGTGTTGTGCTCACAAAAAAAGAAATGTTAGTTCAATGTAAAATCACCCCACTGATTCAGAGTTCAGAATTTTTCTGGGATAGGTTTTTACTTGACAAATGACAAAGAAGGTATTGGTAGACTACACCACTGTAATTACTACAGTTTCCCTATCTAATGTCCTTGTAGAGATGGTGTAAGACCAGCATAAACATCCTCTTTTTTGGCTAATTTGAAAGAAACGAATTTGTATTTCCACACCTTATTCAGATCAACTTTGTACTTCTGATTAGTGTCCAGATCTGATCAATGATTCAGAATTTGTCCCTGCCCACGGCAGGGGGGTTGGAACTAGATGATCTTAAGGTCCTTTCCAACCCTAACGATTCTATGATTCTATGATTCTAATTCTCAGAAAAGGTGGAAGAAGTAAATAACAATTTAGGCCATCTGTAGAAATCAGAGATGTAGTAATAGCACACTTAAGAAAGATTATTTCGGAGGTTAATTATATGCTAATGACAAATATAATTTTCTTTCATGTATACACATACAAGTAGTAGAAGAGATCAAGAATAAGATTTATTATACTATTTTTAATGTTTTCTATTTATTGAGGGAATATTTGATGAAGGTTATTTCCACATAACCTGGCTGTGTTTGATTCTGTTCAGCTTCAGTGGAATGCTGCTATACCTGCCTAGCATATATGTTGCCCCCTCATAAACTATTAGAAGCCTTAAAATTCGCTTTGCAATACATACCTTCTAGCTTGTGAAGCGGTAGACTGAATCCCGTTTTAGGAACATCTGCTCCTATAGGCTGAACAGGACACAAGCTTAGACAGGACACAGATCCAGGATCTTCAGCAGTGTTGAGCAGAGTTTGATGCTGTGAGGATCAGAGTATGCCCACACAACTAGAACTCACCAGTGTTCTGAGAAGCTTGAAGAGGAATGCACCTAATGAATGTTCTACTAAAGGGGTGCACTGGAGTTTCTGGATTGCAAGATACAATGTCAAACAAGCATACCTGTATCTGTAATTCTATCTGGCACCATATTTAACATTTCAAGTTGATCTTCTTTGGTATTGATATATAATAAAAAGTTTACATGAAAATGGAGAACATGTGAGTACAATACCATCAAACAAAACAAAACAAGTAAAAAATTCCTAATGCAGGAGCATAGATAGATGCCTTTTATATATACTCCAAGAATGTCATACAAGCATATGGAACATGGTGTCTGAGATATACAGCATAACAAGATATTAACTATGAGAGCATCCCATGGTCTGCATTAGAAATGACAAAATAAAAATACTCCTTGCTTTGGAGGGCAAGCAATTTTTTTTTTTTTGTTAGCAAGAATCAGTGTGCAAATGGAGATGTGCAAATGAAAGCCAGAACAACAGAATAACAACAGAATACAAACACGATCCATATGGTAGTACTAATGAGAAGCTTTTCCATTCAAGAGCAGAGCAAGGTAATTTTTATAATCAAATATTTGCATGGTTCCTAATATTATTAATGTTTTTGTTGTTGGTTTTTTTTTTAGTGTACAGAATAACAGTATAAGTTGGTGTTGATATTTTAATTTCTTTACATTCAGAACTCTCACCTTAAACTTCTTCAGACAGTTCATATTCTTACTTTGTCTGGAGAATCATTTATTTATTTATTTTCCAAATCCAAGATAATAACTGTAGTTTAATACTAATGATCCACAGACAGGGAGCTTCTACTTCACCTATTCAAAATCACAGGTGAAATAGATTCCTTTTATTAATAATGGATTAGTTTAACATTAACAGGGGATGAATTATTTATTAGAGCTACTATGTATGCCCTTGTTTTAACATAAAATTTAATTTACTGTATGAAAAATTCTAGAAATCAACACCTCTATCAATTGTACGTGATATAAAAAATACTAAGAACAAAAAAATACATAACAGAATAATACCATTTCAAATATTTACATTTTTACATGGTTAGAAGCAGTCATTTTTCCTATACAGCACAAATTTTGTAATAGATGTGTATCTGAAAAAAGTCTGCTGAAGTCAATATATTTGCATGATGAAAAGAGGGTCAGACTATGGCTCACAGTAATCACACAAATGTGAAACTTCTGCTTCCCCAGCCTAAAGGGTACCATTTCAGTGAGCTAATGTTATTCCCATGAAGCACGCTACCAGTATGTTCTCATAGTACGAATCTCTGCAGTTTAGAAAGATATGTTTGAAACAGTTTGTTGTAGGCCCTTTTAAAGAAACATTGATTCCAAATGCATTAATGCCAGTCAAAGGAATGATTAACCATCCTGTAAAATTTTGCATTGTGCTCTCTGAAGTAAGAATACAGTTGCTCTAAAACAGTGTTGTTAACAAGAGGATGCGGACGCCCTTTGGATTCATGTAAACATCTCTCCCTTCCATCACTTCTAATGCAGTAGAATCCCTTGGTTTGGTTAAAATAAAAATTAGAAGACATAATTCTGGAAGGAAGATTTAGAAATCTTTCAACTTTTTGTAATTCAGGAAGAGGGTCCTTGATTAAAGTATTGCCATCCACAATGTGAATTTGATCCAAACTGAAATGCTTAAGCCACTTTTCCATATGAACATCATATAGACTTCTCTGAATAGCTTTGTATTTGGTATTAAGTGCTCCATTCTTAATAACAATATCTTCGAAAAGCTGAACAGGCTTGTGGCTTTCTACTCTGTTGTAATATACTTGGGTATAGTCAGATATAACTCTCTCAGTGGGATCTCTTAGAATGAGCAGCAGTTTAATGGAGCTATTCATGTCATGAATTCTTCCTGGAGCCTGTGGTGATGTAAAATAGCCTGGTGTTTTCTCAATTGTAATTTGATTTCCATAAGAAAATGGCATCAGACTTCTATACCAGTCTATTCCTTTCACATAATTTTCATCCCAGTCAAAGAAGTGGACTTCTGTAGCTGCCACCACAATATTAGGATGAATATCCAACATTTCCAGCAAAGCCCTTGTCCCTCCTTTACGAACACCTATGATGATTGTCTGAGGTATTTGTCGGCTTGTTCCAGGAGGTCTCACCTGTGCCAAATAGTGTTCACTTTTATTGCTGAATAATCCTACTTGCGACTTCAATGTTTCCAACAGTGCTCCGTTCTCAACAGGAGCACCCTGAGTATGAGTCAGCAGAAGATAAGCTGACACCAGTAGGAAGGCCATGTGTAGAGGAATAGTTATTTCAAGATAATGATATGCTCAGCTAATGAAAGAAGAGGTAAGTCCCCTCTCGAGCTGGTTGGTAGAACGCGTGGTAAACACACAGCAAGTTTCTGAAGCATCTACAAAACATAAAGACAGACAGGTCAGTGTTTCTAAATGCATCACCAGTTGGAAATTTAATTCACAATTCAATTCACAAATCTAATCTGTGATCACCACAGAAAATTTACACAGAAGTCATTTGTTTTGCCTGACTTTATTTCAGCAGAACAAAAAAGTCTGCATGTGTGTTTTTTCCCTTAATCATAGGTGACCAGTGATGGATGCTAACCCTTCAACAGCTTGTATTTCCTCTAAGCAGAACATTAGAATTGTTTACCTGACTTAAAATTCTTTACCATTATTTTCTTGATTTCCCCAGTTCTTCTCCATATACAGTATATATTTCTCTTGCTGTATATACCATAACCAGTATGATATTAATAATAATTCCAAAGCATTTCTGAATCTCAATGCCTTTCCCTAAATTCCCTGCTAGTATAGTATATCTTAATCTAAACAATAGGACTGGATGGTGATGCATCCATGTGGTTTCCAGTGAGCTATGGATCATATTAAGAAAGGTCTGTTTACTTAGATGAACAAAAGAAAGCACAGATATAAGCAAAATTTTTGAATCGGAGCCTTTTAGAGCAGAAAACTAGATGTGTGACAAAACAAGAGTCTGAGTTGGATTGGCATGGAACAAAAATGAGACACGGTGGATTCTTTGTGACTCTCCAGTTCTTGTGATGCACAGTCACTTAAGTGTCAGGAAAACTCTTGGCAAAATCAAACCTTCAGATAATATTCTGCAATTCCTCCGAAGCTCAATATAAGAGATACCTAGATGCCTGAAAACTTTCGCAGGGAAGCAAGTCTGGTTGGAGCTGGTTACACTCTTCTTAATCCACATAGCATATGGTCATTTTAAGGAAGTGGTTAATGTTAAATTTCTTAAAAATCTGACAAAAGCTTTAGACTTCCGGGTATGTGCATGTGCACATGTAAGTGAAAGAAAATGTCACTTTAACTGTGTTGTTGACATTTGAAATCTCTTGGGGAATTCTTGTATATATTACTTGAAACAGATCACAAAGAGACCTACCATCTCAAATTCAGATCAATGCAACACCTGCACTGGAGCCACTATGCTTAGATTGCCTGTTTCAAAGTCTGAAAATGTTACAGGAAAAATCTTCATTGAGAGGATTCTTGCACTTCATCCAATTTCTGAGCAACTATAACATTTTAAGATTTATAGAATAGATCTATAGCCTTGTTTTGTTTTCAGTGTAGAGTGTGGAAACTATTTCATACAGTGAAGCAGCAGTCGTTTAAAAAACAGTATCTGGTTTTGGAATTTGATTAATGGCTCATATTTTAAAGTAGTCTCAGAAATACTATGATTTTAGCTCCTTCTTCAGTTCCACTGTCAGTCAGTCTCTTTTTCTGAATACACTGGTGACAGTACTTTGCCTCTTAGAAACAACCTTAGAAATCACAGACAATTCCCATTCGTCATGGCTCTGAGGAGCACTTAGCAGTTCTATGTAAAAATTGTTTACTTTGGGGCTTACTTTAAATACTTAAACTGTTAGGTAAGAATATTTTTGATAACAACAGTCTAGGCAAGGTAGCAGATTCATTAAATCTATTTTCTAAATCATATTAAAACCTGCTCCAGCTTCTTGGATATCTAGGGGAAGACTCTTGTTAACCTGAATGAGCTCTAAAATTACAGATAAATAGCAGAAATAATACAGAAAAAATAAACTAAGATCTTTAGTGAGTAAATCTGTGGAAATTCGACATAACATTTCCTCTTATGTTCAAGCAAGACCTAAAGGGCAATTCTCCTCAAAAAGAGCACAGCTTCGACTAGGTACTGTGTGAGCGTATGCATCTTAAATATTGTAAAAGTCCAAGTACAAAATTGGATTTGTCATCAGAGACTGCAGAAAATACTGTTCTTTACAAACCCGAAAGAAATTTACACTTTAAAGGTCACAAGTTTTTTACTAAGAGCTTTACATGGAAATTCTGTTTAAAGTCCTCAAGAGCAGGGAATGAAAACATATCTACAGCAATTACAGGATGGAAAACAAGATCTGTTTATACTAAAATCATCTGTAGTTACATTTTTCAGAATGGCAAGTTTGGGAAATGGTAAACATGCTAGCTAGTGCTGCTGAGGAATCAAAATGCATTCTGCTATAATGGCAGCTAATGTTGGTTTTGAAAAGCTCCACAGAATGTACAAGACTGACCATGCAATTTGAGGCATCACAGTCCACATGACTCCTGAAATACTGACCTTCAAATGTTAAGCATATTCATAGGTAGTGAGTCTGCTTTAATAATTTCAAGCTAAATTACTGGAGATTCACAAGGTTCCTAAAGAGTCCATTCTGAGTAAGGGTAGAGCTACACATAAAATGGTTTTGAAAACACTTCCTTTCCTCTCTGAAGTAGGAATATATGGCAGTACAACTGCTTTCTAGACCTGTGATGCCAGTAGTCTGGAATTTAGATGGAGGGGGGGAAGGAACCTGTTCCAAAAACCCCACTGTTAATTTACATTCTATTCATCTTCATTTAAAATTTAAAATTCTTCCAGGAAGATTGAGGAATTGTTTTTGCAAACACCTTACAATTTTTTTTCAATTTACCTTTCTTGTGCTGATATGGCACATTGTACATTATAATGCATATACACCTGTATACATTCAATTACAAGTAGTTTGAAAGTAAGGCAAGACCAGCATGAATGTTTGCCAAGGAAGGGATGTCTTGCAGATCCAGGGTTGAGATATATAGTTCATTATGTAACTCAAATTCCAGACCTAATCCATCTTGAAACAGTTTTATGAATTGATTCTTGACAGATATTTTGGGCAACTTTATTTAACTAGTATTATTTGTCGAGTTTTTGAGAAGTATTCTTGAGACTAATTGGGTTAATAGCTTAAATAGAAAATAGGAGAGCAGAAAGAAGGAATTTCTCTGAAATAAACTAAAATCATTGTAAAAAAAGATACAAAAGTACTCGAGATTGGGCACTCTGCAGTAGTATAAACAGAGGTATGTTCTTCCTAGATCTGGTGATAGATGAAAAAAGGCTCAAATTCTCTTTTTATTTAAAAACCCCAACACACTTGTACTGTTTTATCTCTAATTAACTGATAATTACCTGGTTTCATGCACCTAAGAATCCCGTCATCCAACTACTGTCATCCAAAGAAGCCTGGATGCTGAATGAGAAATTCATACTTGAAGCTAAGGAGATATTGGTCTTCTAAGATATCCTCTGGCTCATATGTGATGTGTCTGTTTTACTTACCATCTGAAATCAGCAGTTTTCTATAAAACACACTTAGAAACCAAGCAACAGAAGAGGTTCTGTATTTTCTAGGGACTGAAGTATTAGCAGCATTTTTGAAAACAATTATGTTGGTTTAACCAGTTTGCCATTAATTAGTTGTTTTATGTAGTGGAAATGTCATAGAGTCATTGCTAGAACAAAGCATTACCCAGGAAATACTACTAGAAATAGCCAAATTCAGAATGTGCTGTAAAACTGGTGCCTAAATAGATCAAAATCGCCTTTGGGAGCAATTCCATCAGAACAACATTCCAACTTCAGCCTAAGATACTTGATTGATTTTGATGATGCTCTAAAATGGTACATCCTGTGGTTAGGTTATAATTGCTACATAAATGTAAAGGTTTTAAAGATGATTTATCCACTATAATTGGAATGTTATTTGAATAATTTTTGTGTTGTTTTTCTGCCTTTATGCAATGAAATGCACATTTTTGGAAGATATGAGCTGCTTTTTATAATGAAACTAATATATTTTACACTGCTGCACTGCACACTCCCTGTATCTCAGAGTATTCCTAAGAAATTAACCCCATGATACACAATCAAAATTACAGTGCCTTCTTACATGTGTGTTGTCTTTATTTTTTTTCTATTATTTGGTAGTGTTGGTGTTGCTTAGTAACATAAGGAACATCAACAGATATGCTACTTATTACACAGAAATGAAATTCAGAAAGAAATTCATGCTGCAGGGAGCACTAATTAAGGAAATAATACCTTGGGCTTTTGTTTGGTTTACTTTTTTAAAACCTTAGACTAGACTGAAGAAGCTAATATGCTGGCTGAAAAATCATTTTAATATTGCAAAAGTATTCTAACGACCCTTAACTGCTGGCACTCTATTGTTAAAAAAAAAACAGTTTCTAAGAGGCTTATGATTTATCTTGCTTCAGGGTAAAGTATATCCAGAGTAAACCAAGCTATATTATTGATGCCAATTTATAATATTATTAATTCCTAATAGTAATTTGCCTGTGATGCTTTTCACTGGAGAATTCCACAGCACTTTGTGTTAATGAACTGTTTGCACCCCATTAAGCCACCATTCTCACCTTACAGGAAATTGCAACTGACCAACCTATAGATCCAGTTCAGGAGTGCAAATGCTTCAGAAAGGCAGGGTTAATGTGATCTGCTCAAGGTCATGTAGTAGCTTTATAGTCCTAACCAAAAATAAAACCCAGGGATTCCAATTCCCCTTCCAGTTCCAATTTTGTGCCATTTCATGGCAGCCACTCCCATCTCTTTGTGGTTAACTTGTATTTGGGCTACATGCTGAACTGAAAAGCAAAGAAACGTCTTAATGCTTCAGCATAAGATGCGAGTATTTTGTGGAATACGGCAATTTCTTCCCTGTGCCTCCTCTCCAACTGAAACAAAGTATAAACTCAGTATTTTGTTGTTTCAAGGTATTTGTGCAGGAATACTACTGTTTGCTACTGAAAACTACAGCAAAGGGAGGTGGTCATAACAAATATATAACAAAGCATCAATATTTGTCTTGATTTTTAAAAATATGTTTGGATTCAAAAAAATGTACTACTATTCCTGTTTTTTCCTATTAGATATGAACTTATCCCAACACAGAGATCAGCCACTAGGAGGAGAGTACAGTTCAAGTATTTTAAGGCTTACTGGTATACAAATTTCAAACAGCTCCATTATATCTATAATTAAGAACATCTCTAACGT